CTCAAGTAAAGTACAGATAACCAAAACTTCTACTTAAGTACAATAACAAAGTATTTGTACTTAGTTACTTTACAGCTCTGCCTCTAACATTTCTCTGGTTATTTGAGAGCATCAGGAGCCAGTGGTGGAGAAAGTACTCAAACAGTGTACTTAATACTTGTTTGTCTTTGTGTCTATGGTGTATAATGATGTGATTGTGATGCTGTATTTCTGAGTGTTTTATGTGCTGCAGAACAGGAACCTGCTGTAAAACAGCAATTATGCTGAGTCAGGCTTGATTTTTTGTCATCTTTTCCTGTTAAATAAAAAAAGTAAAAGTACAGATAAACAGACAAATGTACTCTAGTAAAAGTGAAAGTACCACATTAACATTTTTACTTAAATAAAAGAAAGTAAGTAAAAGAAGCTACTTAAAGTATTAAAATTAGAAGTACTTGCTTAAAGTATTCCCTAATGGTCTACAGTATTATGAAATGTGTTTACTGTATATTTTAATACATTGATGATTGTAGTGAACGATGCTGCAGATAATGTATGTTTCACTGTTCACACTTGGACTTCTGTGCTTCATCAGGTTTTATGACATCAGCTCCAGAAGCTGTCGTCCATCAAATCTTGTGTTTTTGAACCAGTTAACTTGAGTTTTTTAAATAAGACCATGAGTGGCACATTTCCTCTGGCTGACTCTCTGAGCTGGGGTCCCTCTGGGTGTGTTCATGTTGCCACTGATGCTGCAGCAAGTGATGCACAATCACCCCACTCCTCTGGAAAGAGGGTCTACTGGTATTTTACTGCTGTGCACAGGTTCAGTGGACCAGTTACAGCAATGCCCCTCCCACCATTGATTATGTTCAAATTTGTACTTCAGCACCTTACAGAAATGTAGAAAGTACAGATATTTGATGTAAAATGTTGTGAAGTAAAAGTCAAAAGTACTGAAGATTAAAACCACTTAAGTAAAGTACAGATACATGAAAAATGTACTTGAGTACAGTAATAAGTTAAGTTACATCCCAGCACTGGCAGAGGTTTGATAATATTTCCAGTAGACAAAGTGCATTGTGGGAAAGAGACGTCAGTCTGAAGGTGTCCTGACTTCAGTCAGACATTTCTTGTTTCTGTCACCTGAAACAAACATTAGTTTTGATTTGTGCACAGATCATCTCTTTCAGAGTGTGTATTAAAATAAAACAGCAGCATTTTGTTTAACAGATGAGAAGTGTTCAGGTAAAACACAACATGTAGCTTTAAATGTAATAAACATGTAAAATCATGTAAACTCCCCTGTGAGGTAAATAAACTAAAAGAAACACTTTTTAATGAACTGGATAAGGATGATTTGAAACATTTCCTTCTTTTACAAACTCCTATAAAACAAACTGTTTGTGCCTGTTCTACACAGCACGAGTGTGTGAGTCAGAAAGTTGTGATACACAATAATAAAATGTAACTGAGTTATGATGGACACTCAGAGGACCACACAGACCAGGCTGTGGAGGATTTTTCTCTTTACACAGTAGAACCAGCAGATATTTGTCCTTTATTCTAAAGAAACAGCATGTTTGTGCACACTCAGCACAAACTGTTGTGATTTGTGAAGAGATTGTGTGATTTTATGAGCTGTTAGGATAATGAAAACATAAATATTATACTGTAATGTTCTCTGTCAGAACAAGATTCAGGTTATCAGATCAGATCGTCCAAACAAAATAAAACTTTAATCATGGTTGTCAAATAATTTCTCTTCTCTGTTAATCCTTGAGTCGTTTGGTTAATTATGAAGTAAAACAACAAACTGTGTGTTGTTAAAATAAGACACATCATCATCAGCTGCTCAGTATGAACAGGCTGTCAGAAGATGATTTGTTTCATTAAAATTTGAACAGGATTCCTGTTTTTCTCACTCATTCAGCTGTGCAGTTTGAGAGGCTGTCCACTGTGTGGCGCTGTTTCTGACAACATCTGGAGCAGCTGTGGCCTTGTGTGCAGCTGCAGGTTTAACACTGAAGCACAACAGAAAACACAAAGGACCAGGCATTTAAGTTTAGTGCAACAATATTGTGTAACTGTTGGTGGTTGTGTCTTCAGACACTGTGTGTTTTGTACATTTTTGTCTGTTATTAGTGCTCTGTTGTTCTCACCCACATTTAACTTCTTTATTTTTAATTATTTAATTTCTAACATTAAGGCCAAACTACTTCTGGTGGAAAATGAAATCTAAATGGATCTTAATTTCATTTTTACAGCATGTCTTTCTAAAATCTTAAAATATTTGGATGGTCCCTCAACATATGTATTTAGTCAAGAAAAAGGTCAAATCCCCTCTGTTATACACAGAACCAGACACGTTTATTTTTATTTTTATTTCATTTCCTGCTGGAGCTGTCTGATCTCTGAATACTGGATCATAATATTCATTTTAATATAATCATTTAAAATAATGCCCTTTGTTTTTTAATGTTTGCTTTTGTTTGCTCTGTTGAAAGAACAACACATCTATTATTATTATTATTATTATTATTATTATTATTATTATTATTATTATTATTATTATTATTATTATTATTATTATAGAATAATATTAATACTAAGATATTAATTATCACAAATTTATTTTTGATGGTTCTAGTAATGCATCATTTTTATGTTTAATAGAGATTTTAATAGAAATGACACTAAAGTATTGTTAAAAGACACTTCCGGTGTGTGGTTTCAAAATAATAAAGGTGTAGTTTTCATTAATAGCAGGTACAATTTATTCTCTGTAGAAAGTGCACAAATAATGTCACAATAAAATCAGAATACGCTTTAAATATATTGATAAAAACTTAGGGTCCACATTTATAATGAAGAAACATTTTTTGTAATTAAATACTCCGTGATGCTTTTATTCTGAAGCTTCATTTCTGTGTTTCCGGTTCAGTGTTTTGTCTTCACTAGCCTCCGCTGCGGCAGCAGCATCAGTGAGTCAGGTGAGTAAACCGGTGGATTTATAAAGGTTATATCAAATAACATTATATGTATCTGTTATTTAAACATTTATTAATCAGTGTAACAGGAGGGACGCGTCGACAGATTAACATATTTATTATTTTATCCGTTAAAATTGATGGAGTCGTTCCAGATTAGCAACATCGTAATCTGATAGATTCATGGAGATGATGGTAAACTGTTTTAAATACGTTTTTATCAGTTTACAGAAACAACAAATATAAATATAGAAAGATAAAATGTTACCAGTCGGATTCGTGTGTCTGTGTGTGTGTGTGTGTGTGTCTGTGTGTGTGTGTGTGTGTCTGTGTGTGTGTGTGTGTGTGTGTTAATGAGACAGAGGGACTGACGGAGGCTGTAGGAGCAGGAAGGCCTGCAGCATCCATGTGTCCTTCAGCTGAAGGACACATGGATGCTGCATCCTCTGTGTGTGTCTGTGTGTGTGTTGTTATTTATAGATTATCTGACAAATACACTAAAACAGTAATACAGTACATGCAGAGGTACACATGTCCTGATGCATCTCAGTAATCCAGGTAAAAATCAAAAAGAAATAAATAGTATAGGTCCTCTGGACGGGTTCTTCTCTAATGAAACGTTTCGTCTCTCCTCCAAGAGACTTCTTCAGTCTGAGAGTTTCAGGCTAAATTCAGGCTTTTAAGTCCTGCCTCCATGTGACTGATACTCACATCACATGGCTATCATTGACACCTAATTAACACTTATTGTTAACAGGGGGTGGAGTGATACTGGCAATGGCTGCGCTGCCCCCACTGTGGGCATCACTGCACTGTAGACCCTGTGGCCCAGCCTAAACTATCCTTAAGGGCTCTTTTTAAAGGAGACCTATTATATAAAATTCGCTTTTAAAGGTTTTTTTTTTACTCAACTTTGGGTATGTACTTCTTAAAAAACAGTCCTAGGACCAGAAAAATGCACCCAGGGGCATATTTACTGTAAGTAAATGTAATTTTAATGTATATTAACGACAAGTTTTATACTTCCTACATTTTGTCACAAGCCGTACAACAACCCACCAGAACCTGTGTTCAGCCCCTTACCTAACAACCCCCAGGTGAGACTCCTCCTCCTCAGTATAAAAAGTCGTCACCGTTGTTGTTGTGTAATGTGTAGCTCATTACACAACAAGTCTCCAACAGGACAATGGGTAGAGTGTTGGACCAGAGACCAGGGTTAGAGACTGACACAGACACTATTTAATTATTTATTTTCGTTCATTATGAACACGTTTTCTCATGTACCTCTATTGTTTATCTTATTAAAGCCTTGTTAA